GTGACTATGATTTACACAGATCTGGATTGTGATTGTATAACCCTAATGGAAATCTTGGTGTCGTTTTAACGTAACGTTCGTTGCATTTTGTTAAATTTATTTTATTTTTCTTTAAACTTTACCCCCCACCCCCCTGCCCCACACTAGGGTTTTCTTTTGTGTCATGAGTTTACAAGCATAAATTTGTAGCCCATACAAATGCTTGTTCCCTGTGTCTCGAACCCGTAGTAGTATTATTATTTATTCTAGCCCATGGCCCCTAGCGTTGAAACTCATTGCGACGTCACTACGTCACGGAGCCGTAATTAAAACTGCCAATTTTAGGCTACAAAATATTATTATCATAATTAATAAGCGCAGTGCAGTTGCTGGGTGATTTCCACAGGAAAACGTATCCCAAATGTCTATATAATTTGTAAATTTTTTTATGACCTTAGCCAAGTTTAATAATTTTTAAATACCTATTGAATTAACAGTTATAGCAGTTATAGATTACCTGTTTGAACACGACGGACTTATCTCGCAAAAATACCAACCGCTAAGTAAAATATGAAGTGTAGTGTATTATAATGCGTTCTATTAATATGGGTACCTACAGTTTTTTTTTTACAAAATATTAATAACCGTTAGTTTCATCTTATCATCACTCAAGTTCAAAGATTTAAAATAAATTATTGTAGATATGGAAGAGCGGGGTTTCCTGTCTAAAGTATACTTAAATATAATGTCCCAAGCTTTGATTGTAAAAACAACTGTTTTCTGATTGCTATATAAATAAACGATTTTTTTATTCTATACACGGATACTCCAAACGAAGAGGAGTAACGGTACAGTTAGATACCAAGAATATTACATTCTAGGCCCTGGTAAATTAACATTAAGATCTAAATTTAATTACACGATTCTATAAAAAAAAATGTTTAATGAGAAACTTTAATGAGAAAAATAGAAATCATATTTAAATTAATGTTATAATATTATATATATATATATATATACTAGCTGACCAGGCAGACGTTGTTCTGCCCTTTCCGACGACCGTTTGCTTCCCTAAAAAAAAAAACTCCTGAAATTAACAATAAAAAATTGAGGGTCACTTATCGGGACAAAACTTAAACTGCAAAATTTCATTGAAATCAGTTCAGTAGTTTAAGAGTTCATCGCGGACAAATAATGTGACACGTAATTTTTATATATAAAGATATATATATATATATATATATATATATATATAATTATTAAATAAGAAATATGAATCTTTACACGACATTTTTTCTGATGCAAAATGAAAAAATTTCGCACCAATATTTAGTGTAAGTACAATACATTTATTGTCAAGTTGTTCCCACGCCACGAGCGGCGAGCCACAAGTGTTATTATTATAATTTACAACCTAAAACCGAGAGTCTCCCAGATAAAACTGAGAAATCTCTCAATAATTTGCCAGGGTCTGTCTTTCCGCCCGTATACAATCTGAGCTTCTTCAAGGCAAATGTCAATAGGCTTTTGTAACGCTGAGACAGTGCGATTTATCATCTAGTCTGGAGCATCATCACGACTTGCTACCAGTTGGGGTTGTGGTCAACCACTGGCTTATAATAGATAAGTAAAAAAAGAGAAATATTTAAAGAAAGAAATATAGGTATTTTACTTATACTTTGTTCTATCAATATATTAACTAAAATGTAATGTATGTACAGTAAAGCAGAAGTAGCGTTAGTAAAAAAAAAGCGATATCCACTCTGTATACACCAAGAACAAACACAAGCTCGTGATACCAGTTTCTCGACTGCACAGAATCAGTAATTCATTCATGGGGCTATTACAACAGAGTCCAAGAAAATACACAGGTCTTCCTATTACCAAGTTTAAATGTTTTACTAAACATAATTTAAAATTAAAAATTTTGGACAGCCGACTTCAATATAAGTTATTTAAGAATAACTCAGAAACTATTGGTCTGACCTCAATCAAATTCATATGGGACCACACGAGAAGTACCAGCATTCATATAAAAAATAATCATCGAAATCGGTTCACCCAGTACAAAGCTATGAAGTTACACACATAAAAAAAAACATACAGTCGTATTGAGTACCGTCTCCTTTTTGGAAGTCGGCGGAAAAACAGTATAAAAAGGTTTTCTCTCGATGAATATAAATTAATACATGGTTGATAATAACCCATAGAAATGATTTGGTCGCTGCCAAGTTGTATCTTAAAAATGTTTGTAAGTAGTTTGTATAACCTATGTAATCTACAATGAACTTTGAAAAACGTCCCCCCTGGGTTTTCTTCTTTTCTTCGCACTGAATAAAATCGTTAATAGTTTTTTTATTACAGAATATTACAGCAACAATATTTTCTATCTTATCGCCACTCCCTTGATAGAAAAATCGAAAGATTTTCGCACCATTATTCTCGTCATTGTTTTATCTATATTGTTTCCAATCTTAACATTTTTAAAACACCCTGTTTCATCGCCACCAAATCAATATATTAGTATATTAAATTGCAATTACATCCACCTGCATACCGTTACCGTTACAGGCCAACAAAAGTTAATACAGTGCAATCTAAACATAGTCAACTGAAAAAAAAAACACCCAGCATGTAGATATATTTTATAAAAATAAACGTCCGTGCATGGTGCGTTGTGCGAAGACCGGACCGTGAAGTCGACTATTCAATTTTTTTGTCGCTTACGTGTATTCTATTTCTAGATGCAGTTTATATATGCAGTTAAAACATTAAAAATAATTGAGGATAAAAAATAAATGTTAATTTTAATTGCCATGTGGCAGCCTCATGTATACTAGGTACGTATAGTATAGATAGAAGTCTTTGGTGAAGAGCACAGTAAGGAGATCGTTTATTTCATTACGAGATTATATTGTTATACAAATACTAACGAACCGCCCCGGCATTGCACGGGTGATTTCTGGATGTCAATAACAGCGCCACCTACCGGGTCCAATTGTAAATCTAAACTAATTTCGAATCAACTTATCACACACACACAATTTCATCAAACCCGGTCTCGCCGTTTAGGAGTTAGCCGTCTAGAGTTCAGTCACATACACGGGACCAGAAGAATTTTATATGTAAAGATGTTTTATATGTATAGCTTGCCATGTCATTGAACTCGTGAGTATGAATGTTCCGTGGCATTATTTAATTATTTTTTTAAACAGGACAGGACTACGCTCTCACAGAAAAACATCAGCTTTGCTGCTGTGTTTCGTATGGTGAGTGTTGAGACCCTTTTTACCGATATCGAGGCATTCTCAACAGTCTCAACGTATCTACATTTTAATTCTTAATCGAGGATATATATGAAATGATAGCTGCATGGCACAATAGCTTAGCTATGAGGTACGCCCCTGAGGACCGCGGGTTCGAATCCCGCACGGATCATGTATTTATATGGTCTACAAATAATTGTTCTGGGCCTGGATGTTTGTACCTATGCAATTTATGTATATAAACTGCCTACACGATACAGGAGATAATCTTTAATTTTAACGGAGGTAACGTATTTTAACTAACGAAACAGCAGCATAAAGCGTGTCATACACTACGCAGATACGATAAGATATCTATCTATATCTGAGCGCGTATCTTTCAAATATCGCTCTTTATGAAATTTAATGAACTGTGTGTTAGTTACAGTAGTCACACAGCGCAGAAAACTTATATTTTATCGTTAAGTATCTGTAAGCACCGACCTATATCAAGAGACAGTGACAATATTATCTGCTCATACAAATATAATTACAGGCATATATATGGCATAGAATATAACCTGCAGATAAATACTTCGCTGTCTTACTGTCGCTGACAAATGCTATTAAATTTGCCTCGGTTCTTTTTAAGCTTTATATGACATTCTCAATTCAAATTAATTCTTCGCCATTTAGTAAATGCAACACGTCCATCAAAATCAAAATCAGAATCCTATTCTGACGAGCTGCTTCTCTCAGACAAATCTAGAAGCAATATACTCGTAAGCCAAGTTATTTTAGATATCACTCTGTATAAACAAAACTCGAAAAAACACTTATAGTCAGTTTGAAGTATTTCGAGTGGATGTATCATTTCAAACCCTCTCAGAAATGAGGGTAGGCCTGTACCCAACAGTGGAACGTATATAGGCTGTAACTTTAACTTGAACTTTTTGATCATTTCGTATATCGCCGTTATACAGCGAAAACCAGTTATCTCGAAATTTTGTGAAAAATGACTTAACAGTAGTATCCTACTCTATTTTTGGTGCTCTTTCATCTGCGAAAACCCATTAAATGCTAAGTCGCATAATCTTTGAGATAGTCAATTGGAAGATCAATTATTACGAACACTTCCGAGAATATTTCTCATGCACAAAAAAGTAACCAGACATAATTATGACTACTAAAGATTTTGCTCCAATAACATTCATTTACCACGATTTAGGCGGCTTTACCTCAAGAGCAGTTCCACAATTTAGTTTTTTTATTTCTCAGAAACAACCATTTATGAAGACTTAATTTAGTAAGATTATATGCACACTGCAGATACAAACTATTACATTGTTTTATTTTTTTTTACCCGACGGACTTAAACAGTGTTAAACAAATCCCTTCATCTACGAAAGAGGCGTAGATCTAAATATATTTTTTTTCTTGCAGAAACTAACGACGTTAAAGATTTTTTTTCCACGGGTAAAAACAATTATAAAAGTTTAAATCAGTTAAATAATGTGTACTGCGCAATGATGCTTGTATGAAAAATATTTATAACTAATTAATTGGTATTCTCTGAGGGTAATGGCGGCAGTGCCACTTGAAATCACTACAGCGAAAAACGATTAAACCAGTTTACGCGCGGTGGCGCTAGCGTCTGTGTTGTTTATACTTGTTTGTCATTCGTGCACTTGCATTTCGGCGGCAGACAATTAATTGAAGTTTTTTTATTTGATACGTTGTGTAACTTGTGTAAGTGATAATAATATTATTATTGTGATGTGTTCCAATAAGGTCGATATCGATTTTGCAAAGCATGGAAACGAGATAGGTAAGAAACAATAATTTTAATAAACAATAATTCATTTAATGCCGATAATGTGAGGTTATAATATTACAGACAATTACAAAGTGGTTGATAGGTGAATAAAAGCCTGTAATAGCTATGATTAATGTGTAGAGTTGAGAAAGAAACTACTTTACTACTACTTTAAGCTTTAAGTAGTAGGTACCTATAATTTTACTGTAGAGAAAATGCATAAAATTATGTTTTTTTGGCGAATGCCTTGTTTGTACGGACGCGGGACCGTAAGTTTCTTTGGATGGTTTGAACATTACTTTGCGGGAATCGGTGACATGATATATTAAATTCATTACCTACCACTAATCTTATTCCATTGGTACTGTTTGGCGGGTTTTTAAATATTTACTTTATATTTTACAGAATGTTTAATCGACGACGATGGCGACGATCAACTTATCTCTCAAGCATATGATCAGCTTATTTCGCAAGCATTTGTAGAAGATAATGAAACTGATACTTCAGGTCTTTACGCTTTTTATTAAGTTTTAACCAACTTCAAATAAGAAGGAGGTTCCTAATTATTCTACTATACTTAAGTTTGTCATGTTATAATCTTTGCCGATTGTGATCCAGTTTTAATTATTATTAAAATTTATACTTTGAGGGTCCCATATAAATTAATCCCAAAGAATATTGAAGTATGTTTATCTATGAGGGTTCCGTACCTCAAAAGGAAAAAGCGGTTAGGTTTGTACTTGGGATGCCTAACTTCGTTCCTACTAACTATGAAACCCTTCATTGTGCGTGTTCAAACACACCTGGCCGGTTTTTAGGGTTCCGTACCCGAAGGGTAACCAACGGGGCCCTAATACTAAGCCTCCGTTGTCCGTCCGCCCGTCCGTCTGTCAGCGAGCTGTATCTCAAGAACCGTAATAGGTAGACAGTTGAAATTTTCATAGAATGTGTAGTTCTATTGCCACTATAACAAAAAATAATAAAAATAAAATAAAACTATGTTTTTTTTTCGTTTTATGGTACGAAACCCTTCGAGTGGGAGTCCGACTCGCACTTGGCTGGTTTTTTAAAGATTTTTCTCTGTAACTTAAGAAAAAGAAGCTTTAATCGTAAATTTATTTGATATAAAAAAAAGTTTATTGTCTGTCTGTGATTTCGCAATTAATAATTAGAATAATATAGATGTTTTAACTAACGGCCGCTTTTTTTTCCACAGTTTTAACCCATAATGAAGACTCTGCCAGCCATTTAATCACGCTTGATGATTTGCTTGGGCGTTGTTCTACTTCTGCAAAAACATTAGAAGAACTTGCTTTGGACGCTTTAGGCGAAGCTGATAGGAAAAAAAATTACGATAATGATCTGAACGATTCTTCTACGATTGCTACAATTATTTTAATGGACATTTTTGATGAGGCATGCAAAAGAGCAAAACAAGTTAAACGCTGGAGAAAAGCTAATCCTTCTTTATGGAAAGTTAATGTCGCGAAGAAAAGACGCGCAGAAGGCTCGGTTTATCTCATAAAAAACAAAATAAGACCTGCAAAAAGACCAAAAGCAATAGACTGCTCGAAGTGCACGTTCGAATGCTCAGATAAAATCAACGAAGAGGCTAGAATATTCATATGCAGAAGGTTTTGGAGCTTAGACTACGTTGGACAGAAAAATTTCCTACTAGCTAACATGGAAGTCAAAACTACCAAAACGTTATTGTTAGAAAGAAAACGAACTACTAAAAGAGCTTACTCCACGCAATGCTTTTTTAAAATAGAAGATAAAATTAATGTCTGTCAAAAGTTTTTCTGCAAAACTCTTTGCATTTCCCAAAGTGTGATACATAATGCTATCAAGAATAGGGATCTCATCGGCCACTTTAAACAAGACAACGATCCTCGTAGACGTCGTGCGCCAACTAATAAAACACCCTCTGAAAAAGTAGAAGAAGTTTGTAATCACATTAGGTCGTTTCCATCAATGGAAAGTCATTACATAAGGAAAGATTCCAAGCGCGTGTACTTAGATTGTAAACTGTCCATCGGTAAGATGTACTCTCTTTATGTTGAAGAGTGTGAAAAACGTAATAGCAAACCTGTGTCTGAGATAACATATCGACGAATTTTCGGAAACGATTTCAACTTAGGATTCTTTAAACCAAAAAAAGACCAATGTCTGATATGCACTAAGTATGCTCGTGGAGATGCAAATAGTAATCCAAATCTGGAAGTGGAATATCGAGAGCACATGGCTAGAAAAGAAGCTTGTAACAATGAAAAAGCTAAAGATAAAGAAAGAGCTAATATGCTAAGAGAGTTTGTGTCAGTATCATTCGATTTACAAGCAATTCTGCAGATTCCTAGTGGTGACATTGGTCTTTTATATTATACAAGAAAATTGACAGTGTATAATTTAACAATTTATGAAAGTGCTTTACCTAACAATGCTCATTGCTTCACATGGTCCGAAATTAATGGGAAAAAGGGAAGTTGTGAGATAGGGACGATCTTGTACAACTATTTATCGGAATGCATACCGAATTATGTAACTGAAGTGAGCATGTTCTCGGACACGTGTGGCGGACAAAATCGCAATAAAAACGTGGCAGCAATTTTACTATGGGCAGTACAAAAAATACCAAATTTAAATATTATTGAACAAAAGTTCTTAGAAAGCGGACATTCGTATATGGAGGCAGATTCGATGCATAGCAGCATCGAAGCGTCACAGAAAAATACAGCAATCTATTCTATGTTGGATTAGATTAACGTATTCAAAAGAGCGAGGTCTAAAAACAAATATAAAAAAGACAACAAAAAAGTTGTGAAGGAACCATACAAAGTCAAAGAATTGAAATATTTTGAATTCAAAGATTTGAAAGCATTATCGGACCAAATTCTGAAAAATACAGCGATTGAGGTACATTAAAGGAGAGGCGAAGATATTTTATAACCACAACATGTCTGAGTCTTTTTCAACCATTGACGTTTGTAAAAAATTTGGACAGAAGGAAAATACGGGTTGGGCAAATTTAGATCCGGAAACACAAAGAGAGCATAGTTATGGTACAAGAACGAAAAAGATAAAGACTCTCGATAATAATTTGTCCGTAACACCTGAAACCAGTGCAACAAAATATTTTCCTGACGAACTTCTGCAGCTTTACAAAACTCCTTTAAGCATCAGTGCTGCCAAAAAAAAAAAAGACTTGTTACAACTATGTGACAAAGGAGTTATTCCAGAAGAGTTGCATGCTTGGTTTCAAGGGTTGAATAGCAATGTTGCATGTAAAGACATGCTACCTGATTGCACTGTATCAGACGAAGATCCTGCAACATCTGATGAGGATTAAACTATTTTTTTATTTTTTGTGTTGATTAATTTTTTCAGCATTAAAACTTCATTTTTATTAACATTATACTTTTCATTTAATAATTATCAATATCCTTAAACTACCGAAACTAAGAATAAACCAAAATTAAACATAACAAAATAATTTTGGTTATTTCATTGGGAATACATTCATTCAAAACAGTTTTCAGTTCAGGTAAAACCAAGTATATTTTCGAATTTTTGGTTTTATTTTGAATTCTATGGACAAATACAACATTGAAGTCAATGTATTTTTGTAAACAACCATAATACAATTTGTTTATAACATTAACGGTAGTGTTATCCAAGCTGTTCCTCGGTAAATTACAATAAATAAAATTTCTACATTTTCAGGGAAAACCAATTAAATAGGGTACTCTATGAACGTTAACATACTTTTGCTTTTAAGTACTAAGTAGATTACAATAATTAACATTACAGTCATAAAAGGATAAATGATACAATCGTAAATAACCTTAATTATTTACATAATCTTGGTTCTTGTAAGAAATATTTTGTCGCTAAAATTTCAATTGCATTTATTTCAAAGCTGATTTTGACTTATTAATTGGTTTTCGCTGTATAACGGCGATATAATCGTATCTGCGTAGTATGTGATACTTTCAGATAATTAAGTTTTTAAACGCCGATAAAATAGTATCGTATCTGTGTAGTCTGTGACTCGCTTTATGTTGCTATTTTATACCGGTATTCTGTGTCTACGAGCGTCTGTGGTATTTTGTGCATTCGCTACATTTTCATTTGTAGATAAAGGCTTTCTATACCACAATACGCCAAACTCAAATAATACATTACATACAGCTATATAATACATGCGTGTTGTCAGTAATTACATATGATGCATCTGAGACATGGCACTGCTGGCCTTATGAGGAAGCTCATGGTAACTTAAGCTATGGGGAGTACTATACTCGAGTTTACTCTACGTTATAGACTAAGAAATGATTATATCCGCAGTAGAACCAGACTAACCCACATAGCCCCACGGATCAGTAAGCTCAAGTGGCAATGGGCTATCCATATTACTCGAGGAATTGACAAACGACGCGGAAGAGTTCACAAATGGTAGGCTCATACCGGTAAACAAAGTGTAGCCTTTACGTGCTTTCCGAGGCACGGGGGTCAGAAACCGATATAATTGCTTATAGCCCAGCGACAAAACTACAGATTCGGTTCTCGTTCATCCTTTGGGGTTGGACAAGTACTTATACAAGGATGTGCTCAAGAAAAATGTCCGCCGCACCAATGCGTGTTGGCCAACTTTACATATTTTCGAAATATTTTTTTTTTAATTTCTCAGACATGCATATTACCTCAAGATGTCCTCCACTGCTGAACACGTGATCAACCAGCACATAAAATTGCAATTAACCATTCCATTAGTGCCGGCGAGGATCGAAGCCGGGTTACTCGCATTCTGTGTAATTAACAGCGAGCGCTTAGGCCCTGAGCTAACATCTACATGGTGTTACTATTATTTTTGAATCATTATACAAAAACGCTATATAAAGTTAAAACCGGCTTTAAACATTACAATACAATGACAAAATAATTTTTTTAACGCTTGTTTTTTAATTAAAACAGTAGCTGTGCCGGTTAAGGTGTGAAATTCCTGCACACTCTGCGAAATGCATCTTATAGAATACAGATAAAACTATTGGTAGATCCAATTGTGCATGCCTTAAGCGTATTAAAAAAATTACGTATAACATGATTATACCTAATTTTTTCAAAGTTTTCAGCAATAACCTTATTACTATACTTCCAATTTTCCGATAATTTTGTACGACTTGCACGATTGTGCACGACTCATAATGCTCATATGATAGTGAAGAAATTAAAAAAAATGTAAATTGTAGTTCTATTCGTCAAAGAGTTCCAGTAGCAGTCACCGAAGTACATCTTCAATTCACTCCGTATGGCTCTACCACGTAGCACGTGTGGTTCGAAAGGCATTGAGAGCCAGTATAACTATAAACTGATCCATTCCAACTTAGTGCTAAATAATTAAAAATTAAAAATTATGTACAGCCGACTTCACTATAAGTTATTAAGAATAACTCAAAAACTATTGGTCTGATCTTGATCAAATTCATATGGGACCACACGAGAAGTACCAGCTTTCAAATAAAAAAAGAATCATCGAAATTGGTTCACCCAGTAAGTAAAAGTTATGAGGTAACACACATAAAAAACATACTGTCGAATTGAGTACCGTCTCCCTTTTGGAAGTCGCCAGAAAATGGCAACGCATTTGTGGCATTCGCAGATCCGAATTCATATAACTAAAAATAATTAAATAATGTTACTAAATTGAATAAAAAACTTTTGTAGATCCTAATTTGAGTGTCAAAGCAAATCTAGATTATAGAATTGAACGGCAGAGACACAATTTTATATATTGAAGATAGGCCAGATAAAAAGTACCGACGACCATGTATGTGTAGGTATATGAATGGAAATGATACGCGAGTGGTGTGTCAAGATCCGACTTCAATGGAAGTCCGTACTCTCTGCCTACCCCTCTGGGTGACAGGCGTGAGTGTTTTATTTTTATTATTATTATTATAAAATTTGAGTATCTTATGGATAGCACTGCATTCTACATCAATTTACACATTATTCATATTTAATTTGGCCCTGATCGTAACCTTTAGAAATGTTATGTTTGTAATTTCAATTGTTATTTTAACAATTATGAGTAAAAATTACAAAAACTTTTAAAGATAAACGGGTGTATTCATAATCATTTTTAAACAGTTCATTAGTTAAAAAGTGTTTTGTCACTTTCTAGCAACAAGTATCTCGCAAATGTCAGAATGAGACAAAACACTTTTTAACTAATGAACTGTTTAAAAATGATTATGAATACACCCATTAGCCTATTCATCTAGCAGTAAACTACACCTACTAGTTTTAAACTATGGCAGATACCAGTAGGTCGTTGACCTAAGTGGGGTCAATGCTTGGCCATTATCCGACTGCACACCTCAACTTCCACATCATTACGAACCTAAAGCACAGAATAAATAATAGCCTAATACAATACTTATTAATTTCACTACGTATTCGCGATAAGCGCGATGAATACAAATTCAAGATCGAGATTTTTTTACGAGGTAGAGCCACGCTGCAGCTATATAATGGTTGTACCACGAATGGGTCGGCTCGATCGGGGTAGTACCATGCTCTCACAGAATACCAGTGTAAAATTGCAGCTTAATGCTGCTGTGTTTTGTACGGTGAGTGTAGAGAATCGGAGACCCTTTTTACTAGAAACGAGGCATTCCATTTTAGTCATCAAGCGTGACAACGCATCTGCATTTTGATTCTTAATCGAGGATAAATGTAGATGTTTATGGGCCACAGTATCCACTTACCATCCGGTTCTATAAAACATATAATAATGGGAAATTCATCCTAACATGCTGAAATCAAATTTCACAGATTGGTGATGGGAAGCAGCATAATCAGTGCGAGGGCATCGAATCTCTGTTGAGTATGGACAAATTATTCAAGTTTAGCTTACCAGCTGGTGTATTTTTGCAAACGCTTATATCCAGCAATAAAATTAAAAAAATAGTGTTGAAGTTTTTTTCTAGCTGCTTTGATATTTTTTTGGAACGAAATTCCACGGACGGTACGAAATTGGCGGATGGGAGCTAAGCGAGAAAAAGTGTGCGATTTTTCCGCCACGACCCCTTCTGACCTAGTGAAGACTGCCTCGGCGACTATAAGGAAGCGAGATGGAATAATATCAATTCTCCCTCGCACTTTTTCTTATCTTACCATGAAAGAAATATTAATATTTTGTTTTAAATGACGCTATATTTTAATAGACGCTAGTAACTAATTTATTTGTATTTGTTAATCAATGATATAATACGTTTATCAGTAATAATATACTACAAAAGGAACTTCGTTCCAACCGAGCGTTCCACGACCACGACACTCACGCATGTTTTTTATTATAAGCCAGTGCTTGACCACAATCCCACCTGGTGGTAAATGGTGATGAAGCGCTAGATGGTAAATCGCACTGTCTTAGCCTAACAAAAGCCTATTCGGTGGAAAGACAGACAGACAGATACGGCAAAATATAGGAGATTTTTCTCAAAAGATCTTTTTATTCTATTTTTGGCGGCTGTATTGATTATTCTAATAATGTATAGGTAGCTACCTACTTAACTTAATATAGTACCTATATGTAAAAAAAAATATTTATGTCAATATCTATTTATATGAGTTAACTGTAATTTTTTATAACATCTTTCAATAAGTCTAAAAGCTGATGCTATGATATGATGAATTTCCATCTGCATTATACAAATAAAACAATATTATTTTTCTTTGTATGGTAACGGTATTTT